GCGCGGTGGCTCAAGCCTGTAATCCCAGCACTTTGGGAGGCCGAGGCGGGTGGATCACGAGGTCAAGAGATCAAGACCATCCTGGTCAACATGGTGAAACCCCGTCTCTACTAAAAACTACAAAAAATTAGCTGGGCATGGTGGCGCGTGCCTGTAATCCCAGCTACTCAGGAGGCTGAGGCAGGAGAATTGCCTGAACCCAGGAGGCGGAGGTTGCGGTGAGCCGAGATCGCGCCATTGCACTCCAGCCTGGGTAACAAGAGCGAAACTCCGTCTCAAAAAAAAAAAAAATAGAGGGAAAGGGGGAAGAGAAGGTAGAAAAGAAAAGTGTGCCATAGAGGTGAAGAAAAGAAGTAAATGTGTATGTTTGAGTAGAGTGGCCTTGGGCCTCAGTGGAGTTCAAGCAAAGTTGTCCATTCTTGGAATATCCTGTTAAGATTATGGTCTCTTAATTATGTCTAATTTTACTACCACCTCTTAAAATATGGTAAAGAATATCTTAGTTCACTTTGTGTTGCTATGAAGGAATGCCTGAATCTGGGTAATTTATAAAGGAAAAAAGGTTTATTTGGCTCACAATTCTGATTGCTGGAAAGTTCATGATTGGGCACCCACATCTGGTGAGGGCCTTTGGCTACTTCCACTCATGACAGAAGGTGAAGGGGTGATGATGTGTGTAGAGATCACATAGCAACAGAGGAAGCAAGAGAAATGGGGAGCTTCCAGGCTCATCTTAACAACCAGCTCTCTTAGAAACTAATACAGTGAGAATGCAATCACCCCTAAGGGAAGGCATTAATCTATTCATGAGAGATCCACCTCCCTGAACCAAACACTTCCCATTAGGCCCCACCTCCAATATTAAGGATCAAATTTCAACATGAGATTGAAAAGCATAACAAAGAACAAGTAAAAGAAAACTGAAAATGTGGGTTATATAAAAGTCAAACTGTGGGGTTATATCAGAGTCAAACTGTGAAATTCAAGAACTGCATTTATTGGCCTGGCACAGTGGCTCAAGCCTGTAATCAAAGCACTTTGGGAGGCTGAGGCAGGTGGATCACCTGAGGCCAGGAATTCGAGACCAGCCTGACCAACATGGAGAAACCCCATCTCTACTAAAAATACAGAATTGGCCAGGTGTGGTGATGCATGCCTGTAATCCCAGCTACACAGGAGGCTGAGGCAGGAGAATCTCTTGAACCCAGGAGGCAGAGGTTGCAGTGAGCTGAAATTGCACCATTGCACTCCAGCCTGGGCAACAAGAGCAAAACTTTGTCTCAAAAAAAAAAAAGAAAAAAAAAAAAAGGAAAGGAAAGAAGAGAGAAAACAAAAAAAAAAAAGAACTGCGTTCATTGAATTCTATTGACCTTTAGTTTCCTCCTCTGTAAAATGTGAATCATGATACAATATTGCAGATTCATTGCAAAGATAAAGCCATATAAGTTGAGTTCATAGCACAGTATCTGGCTCGTAAGAGATAGCAAATGCATTATCTCCTCTCTCTCTCCTTAAAAGATTTGTTTTATTTGGCAGTTATTTTCTAAAATTTGATTCTGTAATCTCTTTTTAGTGGTGACAATTCCAAAAGAAATTGATGTCAACATAGTTCTGCAAAGTTGCTCAAAAAGCAGGAAGTGGGCAAAAACACAAAGCAGAGAAAATTTGCTTTCTGTGAGCAACCTCTCATCCCCAAATCCCCAAAAGAATCCTAGATGCATGAGTGACACATGATGGTGATATGCATCAGAGATTTGGTGGTGGTTTACCACACAGTCACAGCATTAGATAACTGACACAGTCACCATGAGTGGACTACACAGTCAGGGGAAGTAGTATAAAATGGCTAGAGGCCAGACTGTTGACCCTGTTACAGATCTTAATTTACTTAAGAACGGTGGAAGCCATTGGAGAATATGAGTCAGAGGTAACATCATTATCAGAATTTAAAAAGATTACTTGGATGTGTTGTAAAGAATGGATTGGCAATATTTCAGACAAGTGATGATAATATTTAGAATAAAGGCAGTAGGCTGGGTGCGGTGGCTCATGCCTATAATCCCAGCACTTTGGGAGGCCGAGGCGGGTGGATCACGAGGTCAAGAGATCAAGACCATCCTGGTCAACAAGGTGAAATTCCATCTCTACTAAAAATACAAAAATTAGCTGGGCATAGTGGCGTGCGCCTGTAGTCCCAGCTACTCAGGAGGCTGAGGCAGGAGAATTACTTGAACCAAGGAGGTGGAGGTTGCGGTGAGCCAAGATCATGCCATTGCACTCCAGCCTGGGTAACAAGAGCGAAACTCCATCTCAAAAAAAAAAAAAAAAAAAAAAAAGAATAAAGGCAGTAGCCGTAGAGATGCAGAGATATAAATTTTATATTTAGGATGTTACAGTAGTAAGATTTTGCTCAAAGTCCTATTTCATAAAATGGGAACAGTTGAAGAGAGAAATCTTAAGCATTCCTGCCAGATTGCTGGCTTATGTGCTGTGATAGTTAATGTTTAATGTAAACTTGATTAGATAAAAGTGCAAAGTATTGTTCCTGGATGTGTTTGTGAGGGTGCTGCCAAAGGAGATTAAAATTTGAATCAGTGGACTGGGAGAGGCAGACCACCCTGAATCTGGGTGAGTGCAATCTATTCAGCTGCCAGCAAGGCTAGAATAAAGCAGGTAGAAGAATGTGGGAGAACAACTTGCTGAGTCTTCTGGTCTTCATCTTTCTCCTGTCTAGATGCTTCCTGCCCTTGAACATCAAACACCAAGTTCTAAAGCTTTGGGACTCTTAGACTTACACCAGTGGTTTGCCAGGGGCTCCTGGGTCTTTGGCCAGAGACTGAAGGCTGCACTGTTGGCTTCCCTACTTTTGAGGTTCTGGGAACTGAACAGCTTCCCTGCTCTTCAGCTTGCAGACAGCCTATTGTGGGACTTCAACTTGTGATCACGTGAGTAAATACTCTTTAATAAACTCGTTTTCATATATACATCTATCCTATTAGTCCTGTCCGTCTAGTGAACCCTGTGCCCAAATAGATGATGACACCATCCCCTGTTGATAAGGACAGGAAACAGGGAAACACTGGGTGGAAGAGGGCAGTTCACTGGCAAAGGCCCCTCTCTCAAGCCTGAACATCTGTGGGCCTAAATGGGGACAGCCATTTCTGTTTTCATGCCCCAAAAGTTGCCTTTTGGCCCACTATGCCCTCTATCCTGTACCCATATAAACCCCAGGCTCCAGAAGCAGATGAGAATACGAGGAGACAAGCAGATGGATTGCAGAATGGCATCGCAGAGAAAGAGAAAAGAGGAGGAACGTCTGAACACTGAGAGGAGTTTAGCTGGGGTGGTCGGAAAAGAGTTCGGCCACTAGACGGCCAAATTCCAGGGAAGATCATCTTCCCACTACATTCCCTGCTTCTGGTTCCCCATCCAGCCTACTGAGAGCCATCTCTACCATTCAATAAAACCCCTCATTTATCCTTTAAGCCCGTGTGTTACCTGATAACGTCCGGGATGCTGGGCAAGAGCTAAGGATACAAAAAGCTGTTGCACTGCCCCTCTGCCCTTGCAGACAGGCAGAGGGTCCATTGAGCAGGTTAACACTCAAACCGTCCATGGATGGCAAGGCTAAAGGGGCACACGGTAACACACTCCCACTTAGGCTCCTTCACCTGCCTGTCTGTGTGCTCCCCATCCCATATGGGGTTTGAAGAGTGGTGGTGACCAAACCGGCAAACCACACCCCTGTCACATGTCCTTCGAGGGCGATCAGGGAACTCTTCTGTTTTACTGTAATAGAGAACACTGAAGGAGGATTGGTTATGGGACTGGGAAAGACCAGGAGTTCAGCTTTGAGTTCAATTTGAGTTGCCTGTAAGGCAGCAAGTGGAGATGTTTGGTAGACAGTTGGATACAAATATCTGGAGCTCAAAGGAGTTAGAAGTAGTAATTTTGGTGTTGTGAGTGTATAGATCATAACTGAAGATGTGGCATGGATGGAATCACACAGGGAAAGCATACACTAGGAGAAAACAAGAGAGCCTCT